GGATGGATGGGTGGATGAGTCAATGTGTAGATAGAAGGCTTAGCGAATGGGTAGGTCAGGGTAAGTGGGTAAGTGGATGAATGGATAAGCAGATGGATGAGAGCGAACGGATGAATACGGTCGTCACCAGTGCCATCAAAGAACAGGCAAAATCAATGCCATGTTGTAAAAGCCCAGGTTGGCCTTTACAGCCACCAGTCAGCAGAATTAAGAATTATGAGTTCCAGCTATCAGACTAAAAATTAGCTAGTCTGGGAGAAATGAGCAGCGTTCTCTAAGTCAGAGGATGCTGACCCAGGACTCTGAGCTTCGTCTAACTCTGCTCAGACTCTCTGTCTGCCTTATGCAAGCCATTTAACTACTGAGGCTCAGTCTCTCTGTCTATTAAGTAGAAATAATAATGCCTGTGGCCTTTGCCTGTCTCCACAAGAGTGTCACAGGGGTACAAAGTGTGTCGGGATCTGCAGGGAAGATATATGTTTATAAAGATATAAATGTAATCATAATAATAACACCTTGCGCACGCTTGGGATCGGGCTTTGCACTTTTCAAAGTTCTTGCCTATATATTATCTCAGTTGACTCTCCAAACAGGGAGGCAGATATTATCCCCATTTTCAGATGAGGAAACTGAGGTGCAGCGTGATTAAGTGGCATGCCCTGGGTGACTCTTGGTCAGTGGCAGATCTTGATTGTCAGCCTGCTGCACAGTTTTGATGATAGCCTTTTCTTGGATAGATTATCTGCCTCGCCAAACAGAGAGAAGCAGGCATAATTGGCCCTCTTCTGAATGACTCAAGGTCATTACTGTGAGTGTCAGTTCCTGTGTTGTCTTTTAGACTTGGCTGTGATGCAGACCCAGAGCCAGCAGACGCATAGGATAGACAGGTGGAGTCCCCAACCCAACAACCTGTGATCCCAGGACCACGTGCTGGGGCTATGTGCCCCCCCCCTTCTCTCTCTCTCCTTTCCACTGTCAGTGTCTACGCCCATCTCTGAGATGTCCCCTCCCTCCAGTTCTTTGATCTCATTTTTGATCTTTCTGGCCTTCAGCTTCTTCCACACTTTGATTTTATCCTTACAGGTCTTGGTCCTTCCATATATACAGCCAGCCAATCAGGATACTCTGATGGGCTCTGGTCTCCAGCAAGGTAGCAGGTGTCATCTACTCTATAAACTTCTTTACTCTCTACCCACCTTGCTTCCTCCAACCAGCCTAGAACCCGTGCTACTGACAACAGGGTCAGAAAGAACTCAAAGGGCTATAGTGTGTGAAGCAGTTGCATCTGTTTTCCAAAGCTGCAGAATGTGCCTGTGGAGAGCTGCAGTGGTCAGGAAGGGCTGGCCAGCATGCCTCAGGTTGACACTGTAGCCAGTGAGTGAGACACAAAGCCGTGGTGGTCCCCTTGATCATCCCTACCAGCACATCAAGGCAGCCCCACATCTTCCATCCACACCTTCTTTCTCTCCCTGCTGGGTGGCATCCCAAAAGCCAGCCTGGTTCCATCCTGGGCACGCCTTGGGCAGCATGCCCATGCCCCATGGCCCTTCCCAGCGGGGACTTGGGGATGCTCTTTCTGTAGTTGCTGTCAGGCCTCCCACAGCCTGGCTGGAGCACCTCAGCTTCTTCTCCCTGAGGGAGGACGTGATGGGTGTACCCACAACAAGGCTCCGGCAGAGACAATAGCCCAGGAATGCGGTCGCTTCCTAACAAACACTGTGTGGGCTCACACAATTGCCTTGGATTCTCGTCCAAGAAACACATTTCACGGTGCAAGGGTGCGGGTAGCTTGCCTGCCCCAGCCCGCCCACATCTCTCTTTATGCCAAAGACTCGGATGAGGGGTGGCCTCTTCTCCACCCAGACCTTCACCCGAACATGGGCCATGCTGGTTCTCCATTGGTGCAGGCCTTCTTAAGAGAAGACGCTCAGAAAGACAGTATATTCTTCCAGAGGATTTTGTTCTGATCATTGCCTCTTTTTTTTTTAATATACAGCCAGTTATTTTTGTTGTGGTAAAATATACATACCATAATATTTACCATTCTAAATATACTTTTATAGTATTAAGGCCATTCACATTGCTTTATGATCAACCGTACCGCTACAGAGACTTTCTGTATTTCCCCAATTACAAACCTGTCTCCATTGATTATCTCCCACCCCACTCCCAGGTTCCCATCAGCTACCATCTGCTTTCTGTCTCTATGAATCTGTCTGTCCTCAGAACCTCATGTAAGGAGACTCAAGGCTGTGTTTGTTCTTTTGTGCCTGGCTACTCTCAGCAGGGTCTTGAAGGTTCATTGAAGTGAAAACACATCACAACTCCTGAATATTATTCAGCCCCAGTAGATGGATTATTCGTTTTTCCTTTCCCCCAATGATGGACACCTGGGTTACTCTGCCTTTGACTACTGCCAATCATATGGCCATGAAGAAGTATGCGAATGTTATGTCTGTTCAAGTGGCCACTCCTTTTGGAGACCAATCTTTGAGTTCAAGTAACTGTCTCTCCTGAAAAATCCCAAGTAGAACCCACATAAATGAGAGAATGGCTTGGCCCCTCAATGTACAAATAGGGTTCTCTTGTCCAGAAACCCAGCTGTCCTTTTGGGAACCTAGACTTGGGGAAATGGGACACAGAACGGGAAATCTGGGTCAAGATGGAGGAATGGAAAGGTTCTGTACTTGGAAGGATATCTAGGGTATCCACAAAGGGAAAGTTCAGTAGCAAATACTAGGGAGCCACTGATGGTCTGGGCAACCTGGGAGGATACACACAAAGGGTTTCCAGGGAGGGAGCCCTCATTGAACGAGGCAGACAAGCCCCTTGTTAGCACAAAAAGCAGAGGTGGAGACTTCCTGACCGTCCACAGAGCAGAGCAAGGCACACAGAGGTCAGAGGAGGAGGTTGAAGGAACTACTCTATAGTCAATGCTGGAGGGTCCTAGGGATCCCTGTCCCACAGATAGAGGTGAGTCTGCATGTGCAGGGTAAGCAGGTCAGAGTCCAATGCCAGCTGTCTCCGTCCTTGTTGTTTGAGACAAGTTCTTCAAGTGTACCTGGGACACAGTAGTTAGGTAGACCAGTAGGCCCTTGAATCTCAGGGATCCTCCTGTCTCTGCCTCCCCAAGTCTGAGATTTTAAGTGTGCTCCCTGACACTTGGGATTTTTTACACAGGTTCTGGAGATCTATCTCAGAGCCTCCTGCTTACCAGACAAACATTTTTACCAACTGAGCCATCACCACAGCCTTTCCTTCGAGTCCTCTCTGTACACAGCACTGTTGACGACAGGAGAATGAAAGGAACAGCCCTCAGGAGCTTCCTTGAGAAAGCTTAGCAAGCCTGCACAACAAGGCCTATCGCACAATGTGATTTTTGGCTTAGCCCAGACTTTCCCAACAGCCAAGTAAGAGATAAGGTTGGAAGAGGGAACCCTCCCACAGCTCTACTTGGGAGTCCTGAGCAGTCTTCTTTGTCCCAAGTGAGGGACACAGGCCCTGCAGAGTAGGAGCAGTGGTACTCATCTGTGGAGCGCCTGGAATAGCACAGGGGTATGGAGAAAGAGTAGAGGACTAAAGGAAGGAACATGGACAGACAGCAGAGCCTCATCCTCTCAGGGTAGGCCTAAGGAAGGTAAGCAGGCCTTGGATGGTAGACACAGGGAGGAGTTGTTGGCTCGGGGGTCAAAGCATTCTGCCGATAGGCCTCAGAGCCGCATGAGACTTTTCCTGCATCATTACCAGAAGTGGGAAAGCACATTCTACAGCAACCATTGCTTCTCAGGCCCTGGATCTTTGAGGAATTTCCCATAATATTACCTCACTTGTCAGAAACCAGGTAGACACTTGTGGAGAGACACCACAGGCCCAAAGACTGATCTCTGGACCAACATGACCAGCACACGTCACCATGTGCTACAAGAAAGCCACTTTAAGTCTCCAGTTCCCTCCCCTGGACACCTCATCTTCTGCCTTCCTTGTCATTTCTGTAGCATTTTATTTATTGGAATGTCTCCAGCAATTTGATTTGTGGTTTTTGTTTGTTTTGAGGTAGACTCTCACGCTGGAGCCCAAACTGGCCTTAAACTCAACATCCCCCTGCCACAGGAAGTCCTGGTATTATAAATGTGCACCCTACTCCCAGCCAGCCATTTTTGGTTTAAGGATTTTCTCCTGCTAGCTGTTCCCCACCCCTGAGGAGGGGTGCAGAGGCTTGTGAGGGAAGATCACAGCAGGAGTTCCAGAGCTATGCAGAGCTCACCTCATGTTATCCTCGCCTCCATCTTCCCTGGGGAGTAAGCAGAAGCAAACAAATCTTTTCACTCCAGCTTCACCCACCAGGGTCACCAAACCCTTCCAGGTCTTGGGATCAGTTCCCAGAGTTGGCTGGATAGAATGCTGGCCTACTGCAGAGTGAGATACCCCCCAACATTGTCCAGAATATGTTTCCTAATCTTCAACATGGTTTCCTGAGTCATCCAGATAAGAGTCCCATATGTGGCTCTTAGAGCACCCCCAATAGAAGCTTCCTGGGATCTCCTTAAGGACTGACAACCCTGGGATAAGAGTCAAGAGAATGCCAGAAGCAGACACTACTGTGGAGGGAAGAGACAGCGGTGTGCTACACAGCCCGCTGTGCAGACATATATTAGATGAGTTATGTCTCAATTTCTGAAGAGAGAGATTGAAAGGACAGGGTGGACAGGTGGAGGAAACCTTGGTGGGATGTGGTCAAGGCAGCCTGGTCATGCCTTGGTTAATAAGCACTTATTACAGAGGAGTCACTTTGGGCTTGCAGTACCAGTGGAGAACCATGTTTGATGGCTCAGCTCTCTGCCACAGCCAGGTCTTGACTCCTGACCTAGTGAAGACATTGACCATTAGTAGCATCAAAGCTGGGACAGGAATGGGCAGAATAGTAGCCCACCTGCAGGGGCTAGCATCTGTGTACAGCCTGGTCATTTTTGGTTTTTTTTCTCTGCCCTTCTCTTCCACAGCTCTTGCAGTCTCAGGATGTGAAGGAAGACGCCGTCCTCTGCTGTTCCATGGAGGTGAGCATTGGGCTCAAATGGCCTAATTCCAGACTCACGCGCCCTTGGGCCTCACAGTTGAGGGAAACCAAAATCATTGGATTTCTGCAGAGCCAGGCATGTAGAGGATTGTTCTCTAGGGGAATCATTACAGGCTGGCACTGTCCATTTCTCAGTCCAAAGACGTGCCATACAAATGACTTAAGAGGTTGCAAGTGACCTGCTGCCCCCAAAGATCTCCCTTCACTTCCATGGTATGCAATTAGGAGAAGGCACCAAGTGCTTGATTGAGCCTCCTACATTGGCTCCTGGGAGGAAACTACTCCTGATCTCAAGATGTAGCCACTGAACACTGAGGCTTCTTCTGGAATCTTCCTTCCAAGGCTGGCTGGGTTCTTGGGACAGATCCTTGCCCTCTACAAATAGACCAGAGACACTCAGGATGGCACAGAGAAAGAAGACCTTCTGGCATGGGGACCTTTCCCAAGAACCTGTGCAGCAACCTTGATTGGCTAGATGGTCATGAAGTTTGTCAGGGTTCAGCTGGGTACACGCATGGTGCTTGCCCAGGTTAGAGGGAAAGATAAGTCAGGGTCTGTTCCTTCAAATAGCTTCAATCTTGGCACATACCCAGGGGCTGAGGAATATGTAGGGAAAATGTGCATATATCCCTGGAAGTTGGGGAGGGAGGACACAGTGGGTCACAGATGTCAGGGAGGGGCATTGTGGGAAAGGTGGAGCCTAGAAAAGCAGGTAGGACAAGCCAGGGTGCAGTGGCAAGAAGCATTCAGATTGTATAGGAAGAAGGGTCCTGCAGAATCCCAGAAAAATTAGAGTTTCTCCTGGCCAGGGTGGATTTTTTTTTTGGTTTTTTGTTTTGTTTTGTTTTTTTCTCCGATGATTGATGGGTCTCCCAGTTGCCTGGCTGGCCTTCTACTTCAGTTCGTATTTCTCTGTTAGTTATCATCACAGATGTGGACAGAGGTCAGTTCTGGGGCTAGAGGTATGTTTGGCCTTAGAAAGGAGACCCATCTCCCTTCGTGTGCCACACAGACACACGTAGGTACTGATCACTAATCTGTTTCCAGAGCAATACCTGGCAAATGGGAATTACCACAAAGATGCTTGATTGCCCATGGGGTCAAGTGAGGGTCTAATCGTAGTCAGAGAAAGCTTCCTGCAGGAGGGGGAGGCTCTGGGGTAGAGAACACAAGGGATGAGTTCCTGGTGAGCTGCTGTCAGGCCTGGGCTTACCTGCTGGCAGATGGTTGTTAAATCTCACCGTTGGCTCTTCCTGCCTGGATCTGCAGATTCCTCCAACAATTTAGATCCTTTTGGTCCTTACCTACTTAGCCAAGGATTAGGTGGGAGAGAGGGAAGGGGACTGTATATTACAGGGTCCAGGTCCACACCCTGACCACCCTTTTCACCCACAGCTGCAAAGCACAGGCCGGCTGCTGGAGGAGCAGCTACCAGAGATGATGACAGAGCTCTTAGCCAGCGCGAGAGATAAGATGCTGTGCCCCTCAGAGTCCATGCTAACCCGGTCCCTACTCCTGGAGGTCATCGAGCTCCACGCCAACAGCTGGAACCCTCTGACGCCCCCCATCACGCAGTACTACAACAGGACCATCCAGAAACTCACAGCCTGAAAGTCAAGGGGGCCTGGCGGGCAGCCCGTGGGCAGCTGGGGCCCTGGTGCACAGGGCCAGATGGACGCGCGAAAGGACAGGGGTGGCCCTGGCGGGAAAGAGAACTGAGCAGGGAGGCAGGTAGCAATGGTGGCCAGTCTGGAGTCAGCAGAGGAAGGGATTGGATCCCTCAGAAGGGCTCCCTGTGCAGCACCCCCCCCCCAAGCCTGCATGTGAGCATGTGGCAGCTCACACCAAGGGAAGCATGTCTCTTTGTCCTGGTGGTCACCCGCCCTTGCTCTCTTCTCCTCAGCTCTAGTCCTCCCCGCCCCCTACCTTTCAGCCCATCCCCCATAGAGCTTTATGGGAGGAATCTCTGCCTCTCCTCACTGTCTACAGCTGCCTCTCAGCCTCCCACACCTCTGTCCACCGCTTGGGTCAGCCAGGACTGCTGAAGGCTGAAAAAGTGGGTCGAGACGGCTCTCATTGTTCCCACGTGCTGTCAGCCACGGTCGCCAACTGGCAGCAGGCAGCGTGCAGCAGATGTCTGGGAGGACAAAGGCAGGCACGGTCCCCACCAGCCGCCCATAATTGATGGCCTTTGTCAGCCCCAGCGGAGCTGGAGAGAGGCTTTTTTTTCTCCTCTAACCTCCGTGCCCCACCCTCCAACCCTCAGCCTCCAGCCCCAGGGCCCTCTGCTCCCCCAGGCAGAGAAAGGAGCCGGGGCTCACAGCTCAGCTTGAACCCTTTTATTTTGTTTTTCAAAAGTCGGTTGCTTTGAAGTCTCTTTTCCTCAATGAAAATGCCCTAGATTTTGTGATCACATAGTTATCCCTCAAGGATCCCCTGATTAGTGGGAGATCAAACCCTGGCCCCCTCTGGAAAGAATCTCGCCACTAGCAGCTTGCCAGTAGCCAGCTAGTAATTGGAAACTTCTGCCCCAATAGGGGTCCCCACTGGAATCCTGTGTTCCTGGGCCTCTGTCCTGCAGTGCCTCTGTTCTGTCCACTGCTAGCTTCCAAAGGGCTGATACTGTCCCCTGGACTGACTGCCTTAGGACCTGCCCTGGCCCCTATTATGGCAAATGGGGCCAGAAACAAGGCTGGCAAATTAAAACCAAATGCAGGTTTTGTTCCAAGCAACTGTTGGGGGAAAAAGCCCACTGCTGGCTCCACGGGTCTTGGAGCCTCCTTCATGATCCTTTCTTTGCCTCAGCCCAGGCAAGACCCACAAGCCCTACCTCCAAGGCTGCTGGGGAGAGGGGAAATCGTTGGGTCCTGACTGGGACAGTTTGGTAGGCGACCAGGCAGACAGCCAAATGAAGTTCTTCAGGCTAGAAACAAAGCTCCGGTTTCTTGGGAGGCTCTGGTCCCAGGGAACAACCACGTCTACAATGACTAGGGAAGAGGACGAGGCTAGTCTTGCTGGGATAACTGCTGGCTCCTCCGCCTCATCTCTGGGACGCTGAAACCCACACTTTGATGATCCACCCCCTACCCCCCAGAACAACATGTGTTCAAGCCCAGGGGCTTCCCAGTTCGCTCCTTTCACTGGACCTGGTCCTACCTAGACTGTGGTGGAGGCTCTTACAGTGGTTCTCAACCTATGATTGTGACCCCTGTGGAGAATCAAACAACCCTTTCGCAAGGATACATATCAGATACCCCACGTATCTGTTACGATCCATAACGTAGCAATGTTACAATTATGAAGTAGCAACAAAAGTAATTTTGTGGTTGGGGGTCACACCGCATGAAGAAGAGCCAGAGTGTTAAAGGGTCACAGCATCAGGAAGGTTGAGAACCACTGCTCTCTCCTCCTACTTGAATTCAGGCTGTCTAGAGTGAAAAGGAAGGATGCTTTCTCTTAGTGTCCCAAGTCTAGAAGAGTAGAAGGGGACTCAGGTGGGGAGGGAGAGTTCCTGAGTTCTCTTTGGCTGTCTCCAACTGAAGCGTTCAGGTTCCAAGATGGGCCCTCTGAAGGGGGATGCCAGGAATAAGGTATAGAGGTCATGGTTACCCCAGTTTTGATCTCTTTCCTTTTCCTCTCCTCCTTCCTCTTCTTCTTTTCTCTGCTTCTTGCTGCCTTGTCTCCCATCCCAGCCCCTAGGCTGAGCCTGGAGCCCAGGGACACTATAAGCCCCACAGGAGATGATGAGGAAGAGCAGGGCAGGTGGAATGCACAGAGAAGACACCAGGGAAATCATGGTCATGAAGAGTAAGGCAGCCCAGGCCCACAGGCACCTGCTCCCTGCATCCTCAGGGAGCCACAGGTGTGCTTGCATAGGCCTGCTTCCCAGGCGTCTTCTGTAGGGTGGTGTGAGTGTGTGTGCGTGTGTGCGTGTGCGTGTGTGTGTATACACATGTATGTACGTTTGCATTTGCTAAGAGTGAAGCAGGCCCATGAGGAAGAAAGAGGCTGATGGAGGGGACTCAAGCCGCAGTAGAGAGGTCCCCTAGACTCCTCATTGGGCTCACAGAGTGGACTCCACACAGGGGCTCCCAAACACTGTAGAGGGGCTAGTGTCCCCTAAAGAGGCAGAGAGCATGGTTTTGTGGGCACCGTGAGCCCAATTCAGCTCCTTCTTAATGTCCTATTGGGGGAGGGGGTCTTGTCTCAAGAGCATCCCCCCCCAGGGCCTTGAGGACCAGAAGATGCAAGATATAAATATGTATACATATATAAATATATTTTTAATTCCATGTTGTGTCCCAGTGGCTCCAGACTTGCAGTTTGCCTAGTGTATTCCATTGCTTGAAACCACTTCCTGGTCCATCCTGATATGACACTTGCAGCCGTCTGTCTTTCTGTTTTAAATGCAGATCCCTGTTACTTTTTCAGACATGGAAAGAAAACTTTTTTATTATTATTATTATTATTATTTTATTTTTAAAAGAGACAACAGTAAAGCCTAAAATCTAAAAGGCTGAGCTCCTTCCTGTGGGGCAACTACTCAAGCAGGAAGTGGGGGACTTGCAGACACCCACAGACTCTGACCTCCCCCGGCCACAGCCTTTCCTGCTGCCAGAGGAACAGCCTATCAAAGTCCGCCTCTGATGAAAGAACAGGAGGCAAAGCGTCTCTGAGACTTGTGTTGTCCTGTCCGGCCATGACGATCTGATACTGAGCCTTTTTTAGGCTCCCCTACCTGTCAGGATGACTTGGTCCTTGTTTTCCACTCAAGTGACCTGCAGGTCACTGTCCTCCTTTTGAACTGGCCATATTGCCTAAGCTCTGGGACCATAGCTCCTCCAAGACTCTTGACTTCCCCTTGACAAGGCCAGGACTCCCACCATCAACCACGGGGAACCTCTTCCCCTCTCCCCAAAACCACCTTCATCCATGCATCCTTCTTCATCCAGTCTGCAAACCTTTACAGTTTGGGAATCATCTTGTCCATTTGTGTAAATGTAAATGTTGACCCAATTGGTATTTATTCTAATTTTTATTGTATTTTATTTTATTTTGTCTGGGGATTGGGGAGGGGGGTGGGAAGTATACCACTGGTTGCAACCAGGGCAGCTGCAGACATGCAGCCCAGGAAGCAAGAGAAGCAGCTCCTTGGGGCCACTCTAGATGGCAGCCTCTGGGTAGCCACATCCTAGGCTGTTATCTGGAATCAGAAGCCAGACAGTGTTCCTTGTCCCATACACTCAGGCCTGCCCGTGGCATGATGTCCCTCAGCTGCCTGGCACTGTGTTGGAAAAACCTTTGACTGGGTCTTTGAGGAGGTGGGTTGGAGAGAATAGAATTCTCCTCTGCTCAGGACACTTGCCCGAGAAGATCGATCCGGAGCCTCACCTGAGCCAGCTGGGAGCCTGACAACAGGACCTACCTCCCTGGAGCAGGGGCTGGAGATTGCTGCCAAAGCTATGGGCCAATCCTGCTCGCACCATCCCCTTCCCTCGTATATCCTGCTTCCCAGCTGAACCCAAACTACAAGTGGGTTTAAAAAAAAATAAATGATACCAAAAACCAAAAGTATGCTGAGTCTTTCTTCTCTGTATTGAGCTCAGCAATGGGAAGCTTTCCCTGAGCCTCGGCTGGTACAGGCAGGAGTCTCAAAAGAGCCCAGCTCAGGCTATGTACTGGGTGACGAGAGAGTCCTTACCTCTCCCCTGGCTGCTGTCTGGGGCAAGAGCAGACTCTAGGGCAGGAGGAAGTTGGGAAAGGGCTCATGCAAGATAAGTGGGCAGAGGAATGAGACTTCTGTCTCTAAAAGCTGGGCTCTGAGGCCAAGTCAGGGTGGTGGAATTTCCTGAAGAAAATGGCTTTTGTGATAGCTTTGGCTTGTTAAAGATTTAACCAGCCTCTAGACCTACCACATCCTGGGAAATATCCCCATCGCATTTGGCAAGGACTCCTTCTAAGAAGCCCAAGACTCTAGCAAAGTCTCAGTCACGAGTATCAGTCTAGTCTTGGGTAGTCAAATGAGTCTTTCATTGAGTCCTAAATGAGCCCCTTGAGGTGTATGTGATAGTCCACCCTCATCTCAGTTTCTTCTGTGGAGAAACAGGAGAACACTACCTCATAGTAACAACCCTCCTTGTGTAGCGTTCACCTCCTCCCTAGGTAGGCACACAGCATCCTGAAGAGGACATGTGGTGATTCAGCCATTGCTCAGGACGGAGTCAAATACCTCCACAAACAGCCTCAGGATAACCAAACCTACACAACTTGAGTAGAAGAAAATGATGATTTAATTAAATGACTGAGATCCTTTTGAGGCTGATGTACAAAATTTAGAAGGAGTAGGAGCAGAGATGAGGGGGCAAAGGGAAAGTGTTTGAAGATAACTCCCAGGGAGAGCGGGGAGTCCAAACCTGAAACTCCATCCAAAGATGATTCCGGGTGACTTAGTTCCACTTAGAAGGGTATGGATTACTGAGTCCCATGCAGTCTGTCATCCAAATACGAAGTGTTTCACCTCACACTTCACCCTCATCTCTGCTATGTGAGTCTCCATCTTGTGAAGAGCAGGTTACATTTGTCCTAGCTCTGTAGAAAGGCAAAAGAGGAACGCTTCATTTTAAATGGTCATCTAGAACACACCACAAGACCGAGAAAGGCCTTGTGAATACCAAAGGTTGGGAACAGATGGGGGTTAAGAGAAGGAAGGGTTCGCTGGACAGAGAGACAGTGGCTCAGCCGTTAGTGCTCTCAGTCGGTCCAGTGAAGTAGGTAGACAAGTGGTATTTGGGTTGGACTTGCTTGGTTTTCTATATAAGATTTTTAACTTTATGGTGTGTGTCTGAGTTTTCGTCTGTGCACACAAGTGTTCCCAGTACCTGTAGGGGTCAGAAGAAGGTATCAGCTCTTCTGGAACTGCAGTTATGAATGGTTGTAAGCCACCATGTGTGTGCTGGGAACTGAACCCTGGACCTCTGCAAGAGCAACAAGTACTCTTAACTGCTGAGCCATCTCTCCAGCCCCTTGTTTCTGTTTCGTTTTTTGGTTGTCTGTCTATGGGTGTGTGTGGGGGGTTGTATATGTGTTGCGTATGCCTGTATGTGTATCTATGTGTATATCTGTATGTGTCTGTGTGTGCAGGTGTGTGGGTTGAGTGTGTGTTGCATATGTCTGTATGTGTATCTATGTGTGTATCTGTGTGTGTCTGTGTGTGCAGGTGTGTGGGTTGAGTATGTGTTGCATATGTCTGTATGTGTATCTATGTGTGTATCTGTGTGTGTCTGTGTGTGCAGGTGTGTGGGTTGAGTGTGTGTTGCATATGTCTGTATGTGTATCTATGTGTGTATCTGTGTGTGTCTGTGTGTGCTTGCTACATTGAATCTGCGAGTGAGCTTCCTAGGGGAGCAGGTAAGTCACTCCTATCCCCCTATGCTGCAGCTTGCGTCTTTTAAAAAGTATTTATTTATTAAAGATAAATCAAAGGACAGTTTTGTGGGGTCTGTCCTTTCCTCTTACTTTTACAAAGGTTCTGGGAATCAAACTCAGGCTACCAGGATTACACTAGAAGCACCTCTCCCCCCACCCCCCAGCCATCTTGCCAGCCCTGCTTTGACTTTTTTATGGTGCTGGATATAAAACCCAAAGCCTCATGAAGCTTTAGCACTGAGCTGGGCTCCATACCGGTTAAGTGGTTCTGACTCCCATTTTACAGATGAGCCAAGGGCAAACAATGCAAGGGCCAGATCCAGCCAACTATCTTTTACCCTAGCCCTGAAAGTTGGCCATCATTCTGCCCCAGCTCCTGTCCCCTGCAGTGGCCAGTCAGTTAGACAAAGGGGCAGCCAGCTGCCTGCTGAGAGGAGACCAGAGCAGCTTTCCAGCTTCCCTCTAAGCTGTGGAGACGGTGCATCTGGGCCTTCTGCAGGGGTGTGGGTGGAGCCTGCAAAGTTTGAGTTTATTGTACAGTGTGTCCTGCTGGGTCCCAGTTTCCAAAGGCGGAAGATAAGAGAGTCCCTGTGGGGTGACACTTCAAGGGCCAGGCCAATAAACAAATTGCTAGAAACTTTTTCTAACTGCTGATACAGGACACACCCACACAGTGTAACTTCCAGAACCCTGACCTTAGAGAACCTCTTTACTCACTTAAGGGTAGTGGGTATGTTATACCTTGATTGGAGCATCAGACGAGGGGTTGAGGGCCACTATCTGCCACCCTGGAGCACAGCATAACATTGACCACGAAGAACACTGATGGTCATGTAGAATTGGCACCTGTAGTAGGTCTGGTAGCTATACTCCAAGCTGCAGTGCTGGGTTTGCCACTGTGGCTGACGTATGGTGGCCAGCACATTCAGAGTGAGGGAGTGTCCAGTAAGGCATTTGAGTTCAACAGAATACATACCCTGATTCAAGGTTGTCTATGGCACTCATGGGCCCTAAGCACTTTTGCTTTCTTAGGCCTGCCCCCCCCCGTGTGTGTGTGTGTGTGTGTGTGTGTGTGTGTGTGTGTGTAAACTCAATTTCATGGTTTCTCATAGTTTTCTTAGTATAAAGATAAATATATCAATAATTATTAAACATTTTCTTTAACCTAAAAGTTAAGATTTCATTCTAATTTTAAATCATTTTGTGGACCCCATGAGGGAGCCTATCTTCATCCATCCAAGTTACTGTAACAAAGCACCCCAGAACTAGATAAAGCACCCCAGAACTAGATGGCTGCGAATGACAGTTTATTCCTGGCAGTCTGGGGCAGAGGTGTCAGCATGGCAGGCTCCTAGGAGTGAGGACTGCAGACTGCCAACTTCTCGTTGTGTCTATGCAGGCAGAAAAGGGGTTCACAAAGAGCTAGGGTGGGGGCAGCTTTGATAAGGACACCAACTCCATTCATAAGGGGTCCACTCTTGTGACACCCTGCCCCTAAAGATACACCTCCGAATGCTACCATACTAGGGCTTAGAATTCCAACATAAATTTGGATCCAGTCTTTCAGTTCATAGCAGCATGCTGCTCAGCCTGAGGGAACATCGGCCCTGTGTAGGTATCTTCCCTGAGCAAGGAGCCCTGCCTTTCCTGGCTGCCCACTTGGCTTCAGGGTGACTTAGGGTAGGGAGGGGGTTAACAGGGCAGCTCACAGAAGCCACATGAGGAGCCAACCCAGTGTCCCCCACACATGGGTCTCCATCCCCATCAGTTTCATCATTTACTGAGCACTTCTGTATCCTAGACATGGTCCTGAGCCCTCAGTCTTCTGTAATTCACAGGCACATTCAGACTATGGGTATCATCGGCT